TTTAGCTGTCGGTAAAGGGAGGCTCCCTGGTGGGCTCAATAATTCCTCTATAGACATGAGGCAAAATTACTCTGTACAGCCACCTGCATTTGAAAATGATTCAAGAATGCAGTTGTTTATGCAAAGATCTCTTTCACCCCATCAGAACCTTAGATATCCTGATGTTAGGGATAACTTCTCTCCACCAAATGACGCATATGGCTTTTCCTCTCGACATATGGATCAGTCCCAAGCTAGTAATCATGTCCCTTTTTCACAATTTTCACTCCAGCAACTGCCTAGAAATACTGCAGTCTCTAATGGTCCTTGGGATAATTGGAGTGAGCTTCAAGCTGCAAATGACATTGGTGTAGCAGAGCTCCTTAGGAACGATAGACTTGGTATTAACAAATTCTATGGTGGTTATGAAGATGCCAAGTTTCGAATGACCAATTCAGGAGATCTATACAACAGGAGTTTTGGGATGTGATTATCATCCTAATTCTTATGCCTGAGTGCCAATTTCTGTGGATGGAGACGCATAAATACCCTTTAAAAGAGGATAGCTTTCTACACTTGGGTGCAGGCAGTCTATTTTTTTTTACTACTCTCATTGGGCAGCTTCACAGAGGAACAATTTATTTGAAGGATGATGATGATGATATGGGATAGGAGGTGCAGCTACAGCTGATGATGATATGGGATAGGAGGTGCAACGAATGGATGGCCACTTGCTCTATTCTTGAGAGTGGTTTGTGATTGTGTGATATGGATTCCAACTGGATGTTATCTTCTATTTTAGTAGTATAGTTGGAACCGTGTCCTAGATTTGGCGTTAAATTTCACATACTTGCTAAAAGTGGAAGAGGATCCTTCTAAGCAACAGGTGATTTATGTGTTCCTTTTCATTAGTTCGAGAAATTAGATATGCATCCTGTTTCTAGTTTTGTCTTTCCAAAATATTGTATGTTATCAGTTTAGCATCTTTTGTGCTGCTGTGCTTTTTCTCTGGGGCAGCCAATGTCTGACTGTTTTTTCTACTATTACTCGTCTGCTTATGTGTAACTGCAATGTTCACAGGCTGATGTGAATAATGCTATTGCTTGGTTGTTTGTACTAGGAATGATTAAATACAAAGCACCATTTTTGATAATGAAACTTATGCAGATGTCTTTTATTTCAGGTTTAAGGTTGCTTGAGTGTAGGACACAAGTTATATATATACTGTACTGTCTGGTCCTTGAAGAAACCATTCGTTCGGCTGTCTGCTCCTGCTCAGAACAATGCTCCAAAATTCTGTGAGTGAGATGGAAATACAAAATTTTTGCCCTTGGTAATGCATTAGTTCTAATGGGTTAGTGCTGTTGATAATATGGTATATACTTTAATTAGCATTATTTATAGTCCGTGAGCTTTTTTCCCTTGTTTTTGTTTTTTTGTGATACTGAATTGTCAAATGTGATTTAAAAGGATTTTTTGCTCATCAATTTTGACTTGATCTACTTGTTGCTGTCTTGTGTAATTGATGAATTTTCCTCTACAAAGTTGTGGAAATGCCAAGCTGATTGACCTGCTGATTTGGGTTTGGAGGTTGTCACCCAATTTGTCTCATTTTATGCTTAAGAAATTAACATGATGAGAAGTTATGCATAAAATTGACCACTACCAAAGTGATTTATGTGTGGCCTTTCGTAGTAGTTGGTGCTAACACAATTTCATCATGCGTCAATAAGATCCAAGTTACGATTGAGCGTGATGGGATATTTTTAGCTCTTAAGGTTTGATTGTAGGTTTGGATTTTTTTTAATCTATTATATTACTTCCTTCGTTTCTTTTTAGTTGCATCACTTTCTTAAAAGGGAAATTTAAAATTAGCTGCATCACTTTGCTGGTTAGTTAATAATAAACTCTTTCTATCTCTCTCCTATCACATGATTACATTTTTTTATTCTCTCCGTCTCACGTCTTCAAAAATTGACTAGGAGTCCATAATTTGCAAAGTGTTGCAATTAAAAAAAAAACCTGAGGAAGGAAATGAAATATCCATGATATCTCAGTTGTGTATGATATGATTTATGCTAGTGCATGAAAGGAATTTAATGAAGTACCTGTGTTTTATTATATATCTAATGAAAACATGGCAGATTTTGAAACTAACATTTTTTCATTATAATGAGTTATATTTTCATACTTGGGTTATGGTTGATTAATCAGATCGTTAGATAATGTTACTGAAGTAGACCTGTTTGTAGGCTTTCTGATCACTACAAAATTTGATGACAGTCTGAAGTGAACTCCCAAGGTTTATGTAATTATTGTTTTCTTCGGGAATATTACCCTAAATTGTAGAGGGGAGGTTTACTGTGTCATTTTTCAAAAAAAGGCACCATGATGATTTGTTATGTTATGGTTGGTCAATTTTTGTTTTTGTTTTTTTTTTAAAAAAACCTAAATGTACATACATGTGTGTATAAATTTTAAGTACATGTATTTTTATTTAAAGAATACGTAATTATAGTATTTTAAAATCTATTTTATCTTTTTAAGATCAATTTTCGAAAATTAAATTATAATTAAAATTTACAAAATAAAAATTCATCATTCTTCATTCATGATGTGTTGAGTAGGGGTGATAATGAGACTGAGCTATTCGTGAACTGTTCGAGCTTGGTTCGGTCAAAGCTCGGTTCGATGAGGCTCGACTCGAATTTGAGTTCGGCTCGAAACCTTAACTAGGGTTAGCTCGTGAACAAGCTCGATTAAAATATATATATATATATTTAAAAAAATACAATTTTAAATTAATAAATTTACTATTTTTAAAAATATGGAAAGCATGAATTACAGTAGTAAATGCCACTTAAATATTCATTTTATTATATATATATAAAAAAAAATAAAAAAAATAAAAAAAAACCAATTTTGGATTGTTGGGATATTCTCCATAGTAGTTTACAGCCCAATTGGTTTTGCTAACCCTAGCTATAGCTCTATTCTCACGCATAGTATAGCCGTCACTCATCATAAGCTCACAACTTCAGTCTTTCAAGAGCTTCAACTCACAACAATACACCACCACGGCACCACCCCTGCACCCCACTATCCGTCAACAATACCAGTAGCTCACCGAGTCATCGCCGACTCACTTACCGGTGTCGATCAGAATACAATACTGGATATGAAGATGAATTTTGTCTACCTCCATAAAAACTTCAAGCTGCCTTCAACAGTTCAACTATGGCAGGGACATGAGGTTGAATTTGTTTTTTTATTTTTTATTTTTTTTATTTTATATATAAATATGGTCAATTGATACAATCTATGAAGATGCTGAGTATTCAATTTGTAATTGCATAGTTTTATCATACCTAATTCCTACTAAATACAGAGTACTTTACACTAAATTGCTGATTATGAGGTTCTAAAAAGAAATAATTACAAGTTCAATCCGAGCTCGAACTTGCATCAGGATTCTCGAGTTCGATTCAAGCCTATGTTTCTGAAGCTCGTCGAGCTTCGAGCTTGAGCCGAGCCTCCTTTGAGACAAATGAGCTCAAGCTGAGCTTATCACTGTTCGGGCTCGGCTCGAAGGTTTAGCACTTCTAATTTGGAGGATGAAAATAGCCTTAGAAGCGTGTATTATGATGATCTAAAACATAGATCTTTCAATTTTTTTAACGATCAATGGATAACGAGGGTGTGTTTTTGCGATTTAAAATTAACTGGTTTGATCCAGAGATTGTTTGTAAGTAGAGCAAAGCAGATGAGCAGATTTCGGTAGGTAGAGCAGCTCATAAGAATAGAGCCTATATAAAACACTATTTTCCTTATGTAATGACAAAAAATAGTTTAGGTCATTACCTAAGTCACAAACAAGTTTGCGAACAAATCATTACATTTTTACGGATCAAACCAAAAGGGCTCAAAAAGAAAAAAAAAATTGAAAGGTTGTCTTCAGCAATTATATAGTCAAAAGAACGTACATCATTCAACCTAAATCACTATGCCGCTTGCCACCGCGATATTGCAAAATACCTATGCGATTCTTCCTTAACAAATGCTTAAAAATGAGATTGTAAATGAGATTTTTTAATGAACAAAAACCTAAAATAATAAATTGCAAAAAATGAAACGCAAAAACACAATTGATATACGAATTTTAATTCTGAATTAAGGCCGGATTTGAGAATTTATCAACAATTAACAATGATTTTGGGAATGGGCGGCTAATCTATGACATGAATGAAGAACATTGATGAACAAGATGAATAATGATGAACATCTTTAATTTTGGGGTTTTTATTATAATTATAATTTTGAAAATTAATTTATAATTTGTATTTCTTAAAACAATACATGTATTAAAAAGAACACATAAAAACAATACAATTTTAATACAGTGTGTACATTAAAAATAATTCAAAATTAAAATAAAAATACTAAATATGGGCCAATCGGATTTTGCCACATCAGCAAATTGTGGTGCCTTTTTTTTAAAGATTAACATTGTAGAATTTTTAAGGGTGATAACTGTAAATGTATTACACAAATTGGTGTAAAATACAATCAAAATTAAATCAGATATGTACGTTAATTGGACATAGAGTAAGGTAAAATACAGTCCCTCAACTTTTGTATTTGTGAACTTTTAATCACTAAGAAGTTTTTTGTACACTTTTGGTCCTTCAACCACCACTCTTGGTGATTCTGACCAAGAAGTTGAGGAACCTAGCCTAATCAGCATTAATTTAGGGACCATGACTTATTTTTTTTTCTTTTTCGCCAGAATTTATTAAAAAAAATAATCTTTTTATTAGTTTAGGGACCAAGCTACTCCAATATCTTTCTCTCTCCTCAATATTCAGATCTGGTTCTTCTCTCTCCTCTCTTTGCTTTCCCTCTTTGAACCCTAACTAATCTTTACCCACACAACGCACGGGTTAACTTTGTATCAAAATTTTGAAATTTCAAGGTGAGAAATGTAGAAGCAATTGTTTACGTTTATTTTTGCACAGGTAATATTGGTGATCATTTTGATCATAATATTTATGCATTACTAATGATAGATATACAATGACAAAATTAGCAGAAAATACAATATTCCCTATTTGGCTATTTCCATTTATTCAATAAAATAGTACTTGGCTAGAGTATTTATATTTAGTGCAGACAACTTAAATAATAGAGTATGACTGATAATATCTACAAAGACAAATTAATATTACAACTTTAAATTGAAGTAATAGAAGGCTAATGTAGTTCATATTGGTTAACAGATTTGTGTGCTATAATGTCTATTGGAGTTGTTGCATGCCTTTTCCTTGAATCTGCAAGCAATTTTGATATTATAATTAGTATTTGTAAATTAAAATTTGTATCAAAAATTTATGAAATAAGGAGTATTGTATACATTTAAATGAAAAATAATCAATACCCATTTCATCCAACTACAAAGATTAGCAGATGTATTAAATTAGAGCATGGCAAAAGAGGGAAACCGAGATACCCAAAAAAGGTACGGAAGTAATTAAAAAGAATAATCTTGTTGTGTTGAAAATTCAAAATCTTATATTTCATAAACTCAAAATGCAGATTAAAAAAAAAAAAAAAAAACAATTTCAGAAATTTAACGACCCTTAAGTTCTTAAATACAGCCTAAAGAACCATCAATTAATAAATTGACCTCCCGTAAAAAAAAAAAAAAAAAAAAAAAAAAAAAAAAAAAAAAAAAAAACAGATTGACCTTTACCACTTTGAATGTGAAATTGACTTGTAAATTAAGATTAGTGAATCGTTCCCAAAAATGGCAAACAAACATACCTGTATTTTCATGCAAAATAAAAAAAAAAAGAAGGGCAAAACCCATATTAATTGCTGTAAATGGCCAAATCTATATAAATTGCTGCAAAATTTAAGAATACTCTTAAATCTAAATACGGGAAAGAGAAATTGAATTGATGAAAGAGAAGGGAAATCTACTCTAAAATCCCATCACATATAAGTAAGAATATAATTCAACTTAATACTCGGTACTTTCAAAACTTCAAAATTAAGGTGGTTGGCAAGAATGTGAAGCGATGATTTTGTCACAAAGAATATAAGTGAAATCAAACTGCAAACCGAATTCAGATCTGAAACAAAAAATTGAAACTGGTAAAAATACAAATCTTATTGTGACAAATTTGACTAAATAGATCATGATAACCCAATTTTTTAAAGCAAAAACTCAATATTTGGCCGTTGGTGATTCAACACCTCCCCACAATCTATGCAAGATAACTGTTCCCAAAATAAATAAATAAAAAACCACTACTTCAAATAAAAAAATATAGTAAAATTCCGAGAAAACATTACAAAAACATAAAAGTTTAAAAAAAAAAAAAAAAGAGAGAATTTATAAACCTTATATGCAGAGCAAATGCGAAAATGATTATGGAGTTTAGGCTTCTTGAGATATAGGAAATGGGAATGAAGAATTAAGTATTCCGTATTTAAGAAACAAATGAAGAGCAATAGAGGAAAAGAAATACTTGTAACAGCCAAAAAGGGAAAAAATAATTGTACTCCGTATTTAAAAAAAGACGCTGCACTGAAATTAAAAGGCCAAAATTTTTTTTAAAAAAAAAAAATAAAAAAGAAAAAGCAAGAAAAAGACACGTGGCATGTTAAAGTTCCTGTTATTAAATATTAGTATTGATTTCTTCTCCTTTTTTCTTCAAATTTTTAGCCAAAATTAATTTTTTTTTACAACAAAAAAATCAGATTAAATATCAAGAAACATAGATGAATTAAAGCCTAAAACAATTTTTACTTTTTTGAAAAATCGTTGCTCTACAGTAGTGTAGGGAATATTTCAACACTCAACTTTGAGCCTCACTGTGATCATGCATTTAGGCATGGTGGCGCCCAAAGGGAAAAAAGCTAGAGATAAAAGAGTCGCCAACAAGTTTTAGGAACTTGTAAACCGTTCACGGGTGTGAAGGTTACACCCCATTCACGATCACGGAGATCGCTAACTCCATAGTTGTCTGGTACCATGACTGGATATTCGGGGATGATGGTACGGATCCAACCTAAAAGAGATTGAACCCGCCCTAAATAGGCCTCTACTTAATTATTATAATATTCATGTGCCCTTTCCGATCAACATACAATCAATAAATTAATCCTAAGCATTTTTAATCTACGTTGGTTGATTATTAATGCACAAATAAATCTATTATTGGCGATCACTTGAATTAAAATCATATTAAACCTAAAATCAAATTATTAACTATCTTATTAGGCGTGATTTCAAGTACAAATTTCCTTTAAACCTGCAAGAAAGGGCGTGATCAAGCAATAACAATTAATCACGAATAATCAAGCAACATGATAATTATAATTGACACAACAATCATCATCATCATCATAAATAGCAGTATCTCCAAAATAATATTAGCAAGATCCTAGGCATGATACTAAACGAGTTAATAACAAACCCTAGCATGTCACTAAATAATAAAAAGAATCAAAGGTTTAGCCTAAACATGATACTAGAAAGCATGATATTAGGAATATTAATTAACACCCTAACATGATACTAGAAATCAAAATAATAGAAATATTAATTAAGCATCCTAACATGATACTAGGAATCAAACAATATTTTAAGCATGATTTCTATATCAAAAGTAGGAATAAAGATAGTAAATCTACTCACTTTGATGCCTCGTATCTCTTTCTATCAAAACAATACACGCGTTAGTAACTTCAAGAAAAAATAAATCCAATAAACCAAACAAATAAATCAAATAAGAATTGAAATATAGATTTAAGACCAAACCCTCAGAACTAGCAACCTTTCACGTCGAGGTCGAAGGCAACTACAAGAAGGGCTTGGAGTATTCAAGTCTCGCAAAGGTCGTATGGTGTGTGATGTGTTTAGGCTAAGGCTAAGAAAGAGAGAGAAAAGCTTATAACTTAGAGAGAGAGATTAGATGATGATTGTTGGTGAATCAAAACGGAGGAAAACGATCCTATTTATAAGGAAAAACGAGAGAAAAGATCAGAAAAAGAGTCAGAATCCGACTCGGAGTAAAACACTTTTCATCGTGTGGCGATGGATCCGTCGCGACGCGACGCTTATATCGCTGCGCGATATTTGCATCGCTGGGCGATAATTCTATCGCTGCGCGATGCTTTTCAGAAGATAAGATCCGTACGGAATCTGACTTCCAATCAAATTGGGTTAGTCGAATATCCATACTTATCCTTATTTTTTCAGAATTAAATTTATTAAAAAAACACATATTTTATCCGATATAAAAATCTTAGTCTTTATCTTTTAAAAAACAGGATAAATTAGAACCTTCTAGAGGATTATAGAAGCTAATAATAAATCCTAAGGGATTTAGGACTCAAAATTACCTTCTAGATAATTCTAGAAGCTTATGATAAATCCTAATGGTTTTAGAAATAGAGTTAAGATTAATGGACCCTCCACATGATCATTGGATCCGCATATAAAGCTCGGTGTGGGCCCAATTTAGTTTTCTGGCTGTAACTTATTCGTTATAACTCGGATTTTATAATATATCGTTGGAAAGTTTTTTTCAAGCCCCATCCAACTTCACAATCGTTGGACCCAGATTATGGAGCAAAATAAACTGGTTTGGATGTTTTTATAAAAAGGACACGAAAAGAATGTTCTTAAGGACACGAAATAAATTATTTTCGGTTAAAACATTTAAGGAAAGGTTAGAAATGTTCAAAACTTAAGGGAAATTCAAGAGACTCTTCAACTCTTCACCTAACTCGATAATCAAAGACGTGAAAGGTACTCATTACTATGTTTGGTTTTTGGGGAGACACAATCAGGTGTCTACAAGTAGCAATACCAAAGACGATTTTCTTTTTGAAAGCAGCCAACGTTAAATTTTTGGGAGCAATGTAGTCGGATTTCTAGGGATGAAAATGTCAAAACATTGGGGAAAATGGTTGATTTTGGGCAAAATAATTGGAATTTGGTAGAAGTAGTCTAAATTTGACAAAATTTGGGGAAAACAGTCGAATTTTTTGGGGAAAATTGGCGAAAACTGTGTAAAATGGTACTCCTACTCGTATTAGTGTGGAGAAGGATGACTTCACTTTTTTTTTAACAAGAAATTGATTCATTGTTGAAGAAATTAAAGATAGAGAATGAGGCTTTTCTTTGAAATACAAGAGAGAGAAAGAGCTCTGAACAAACAGATGAGAGAGAGTGAGTGTGTTTAGAAAAAAAAAAAAACAAGGGAAAATAATAAAGTAAGGGGGGCACGAATTATTTGGCAAAATTTAAGGGTAAAATAGGAAATTGTGATGACTTAAGTGTAAAATACGGGGGTGTTTTGGGAATTTTAAATTAAATTTTGACAAAAAAAGAAAAAGAAAAAAAATATAAAAATGAGTCATGGTCCCTCTAACTTTTGTTGACTAGGCTTAGTCCCTCAACTTTTGGGTGTAAAACACCAAGAGTGATGGTTGAGGGACCAAAAGTACACAAAAAACTTCTTAGTGACAAAAAATGCACAAATACAAAAGTTGAGGGACTGTATTTTACCTTTACTCATTGGACATACTGTAAATGTATTACATTCTTAATGAGGTACATGGGGTTATTTGTAATGACCTTGAACTTTTGGTTGATTAATATTATTATAAGCTTGGTTTTGTGTAAAAAAAAAAAAAAAAGTTAGAAGGACTCAAACTACACTAGATTACATTCTTTTTGGTGCAACACTAGATTACATTCTTAATACTAGTATAATCAAATTAAAATACGCTATTCTAGGCGAAGAGAACAATATATAATTAGTTTCTTTATTAAAGTTATTACAAAATTATTTGCCCAATATGCTATTATATCTTAATTTCGAACCAAAGGAGTAATTTAAAAGAAAAATAAAAGGCACATTATTGTTGTAGGTCTACCCTGTTCTGCTCTACTTAAAACTAATAATTAATAATAATTAAAATTTAATAAAAATAAAAAATAATTAATATGTATTAATAATAACAAATATTATAGATAATAATAATTAATATCTAATAATAATAATCAATATTTTTTAATAATAATAACAAGAATTAATATATAATATTAATTGATAATAATAATAATTAATATTTAATGGTAATAATTGATATTTTATATTATTTAACACATTTTAAAATGTTATAAAAAGAGTAGAAAAATCTAAAAAAAAATCATAATAATAATAATAATAATAAAATAATTTCACTAGGATAGATATTGCAATGACTAGAGGAGTGGGGGCTCAGATTGTATATCGGATTCCCACTAATTTATTGTAGGTTGTATGACTTTGTCTGTTTTTGAGATATAATAATAATAATAATAATAATAGTAATAATAATAATAATATCCTGTGAAATAAAAGGAAAATGAGAGAAATTGGGGAGAGAATAGATCTGTATATTATTCCATTGAGTAAGGAATATATATATATATATATATATATATACATACATATATATATACATATAAATATATATACATATATACATATATATATACATACATATATATATATACATATAAATATATATACATATATACATATATATATACATATACATATATATATACATATACATATATACATATACATATATATATATACATATACATATGTATATACACACACACACACACACACACACACACACATATATATATATATATTAGCTAGGGTTTTCTTAGAGAACACTAAACCCTAAACCTATAATATTCCTGAAAGTACAAGAATATAATGGGCATCCATAAATATTTCATAACACTCCCCCTTGGATGTCCATTATCGAAAAAACCCTTTGGGATAAAAACATAGTGAAGGAAAAAGAATACATCATTCTTTGTAATACGCTTGCAATGCTGCCTCATTAAAAACCTTACCAGGAAAACCCAATGTGGGACAAAACCATGGTTAAGGGAAAAAGAGTGCAGCGCGTATTTTCTCCCCCCTATGACCACATAGCTTGATATCTTCTAGTGCAATGAATCCAATATGGTTGGATATCTTCTCATATGTAGTTGAATATCATTCCTTGATCATCGATCCTGCTAAACTGAATTTGCATCTTCAAGTCTTCACATGAACATGTAAAGTGTCTTTATTTCACCGTACATGTGTTTAACTCTATATCATTCCAAATCTCTATTTAATTAAAGTTGCCTTAATAGTTAAACTTATGCGGTTATGCCTTCTTCTGGAGGTTGTGAATGATGGAAATTGATGATCATTACTTGATCAAACATTCATTAATGTCGTTCTTAAATCTCATATGAATTATAACACATGTACTTATATACACGGATCATGGTTCTTCTGGACCATAAGAAAACATTCTCACACATAAGTATCCCGTTGATATCCTTTAGATGTTTCATAATTAATACGATAGTTTTCCTGCGAATTCAAATAGTAAATCTCAGTAACTCTCATATGCTCAAACTTCAGGTTGAGATGTCAATGATGTAGTTTCAAGAGTTTGATAATAATTGCAATATTCAAAATATAAAATTTGTAGGGCTGGATATATAAATACGTCGTACATAAGTTCTTCAGGAACTCTTCTTACATG